GTGTGTGTGTGTGTTCACTGACCTCCAGTGGTGGTAAAGGTGGTGGTGGTCGGTGAGCTCTTCAAGCTGCCTAGCTGACTGGTTATGGTGACGGTGTAGGTGGTGGAACCCTCTAGACCACTTAGCTGCTGCTCTGCTGCGTTTCCAGACACAGTGACCCTCAACTCTGGTCCTAAACCAACACAAAACCATCAGCTAATAGGTATCTTTATTCCGTAGTTTAACATGATAATGTCATGCCAATGATTGAACGGTTTGTAACATCACCTAAAAAATTAGACCTTCCCCAACTTTCTCTGTTGCTCTGAGCTGATTTATGTGTTTCTATGGAGCATTTTCACTTTAATGTTTATGCACCTCCAGAGTGCTTCTCTCTCCGCCTCACTACAGTGTCAACAGTGTGTAACACTAGCTCCAGTCCAAGACAGGATGTGAGGTAGGGGCATCGAACTAGCTAAATGTAGCTAAGCTAAGCTGGGGTTGTCCGGCTGGCTGTGTTTTGGCTGCGTGATGTGGGTCTGGCATTGGTTGCTTTGTGGTGTTGGCTGATGGGGTGATTTGTAAATGGCGAGCTAGCATGGATTCAATGTTCCAAATAAAATGTTGCAACATACAGTGCAGATAGTAGTGTTACTCTAAATTTAATTGTAATTTATTTTCCAGCGGTCTAGTGATGTCACATTTGGCCATTGCCCAGGATGGTGCTTTTTTTTTTTTTTTCTGAAAAGTAGCATTACTTTGAATCTGGTAAAGGATCTGAATACTTCTTTCATCACTGCAGTAGACACAGAAACATTAAGTGTAGATTCTGCTGCAGACAAGGTTTTATGAGGATGTACAGCACCGTGGTAACACTATAAACTCAACAACATCATCACCACTTACCTGTCTCAGATCCATAAACGATGGCGTATTTATCAATGGCTGCCAACGCAGGACGCCACAATAACAAGGCCTTGGTGTCTGTGACGTTTACAGCCCGGAGGTCTGTAGGCGGGTCAGGGACTGAGAGAGAAATAAAGATAATAATATTTATATGAATGGCCCACAATGCCCTGTATCTATAGCACTGACCTCTGCTGTGTATCTACAGCACTGGCCTCAAATCTTTATTAACGGTCTCTGAAAGACAATTAGTGTGAAATGGTTGAAGTTCACTAAAACTAAAAAAAAGATATTAATAATATCGAAACATTAAACATGTGATATCTAGTATCCAAAGAATGTCTGTGTGGTAACATTTGAAGTAAGACTTGTGGAGATATAGATATTGATTTTGCATATTCTTTTTAAATATAGAGTGACAGACTTTGAAATAGACCATACATTGCAGTGAGGCAAACTTTTGTCACAATTCAGTGGATGTGCTGAAAAAAATCACTTTAATAAAGACTGAAGATAAATATTAAATATATATATATATATATATATATAAATGTTTGAAACAATCTTTTCTAACTCACCACATTTACAGGATTCCTAATATTTGTACGTTCATTATGTTCTCATGGCATTCAAGAGCAGCTCAACTCAGCTACGATATGAAAAAGGGAAACCTGTAGTACTTACGTGTCATGACAAAGTCTTTGATGGGATCGCTCTCATCCAGTCCAAGGATGGAGATGACGTTGACCTCGTAAGAAGAACCAGGTGAGAGCCTTGATAGGCCGACGGTGGAGTCTTCTGAGTCCACGGACACTGACACCGGCTCACCTGTAGACACACAGAAGATCCCAAATTAATTATATACTGACTTTACTAACCCTCTCAAGATGAAAGACATCTCCTATTAAATGCCTTAACTATTTTTCAGAAAAGACAAAAACCACCTCCACTAGAATTGAAAACAAAGTAAGGATCAGATTTTGATTGGCTTTATTTAAGCCCATACCAATCTATTAATATATGCCTGGATTGCCCTGAGACTGATACTGATCAGATCCAACTAACTGGCTTGCAGGTGTCTGTTAAAACTGTAGAAGCAAATGAAATCAGACAGTAAAGACACAGACCATAATAACAAATCTTTCCTGAAAGCTTTATTACACTCAAGTGCATCCTGATATAGAAAATAACTATTAACTCAGCGGAGGAAACACAATTACTTGAAGTGAAGTGACGTTCCTCACCTCTGTCTCACTCATTATTTTGTGTATCAAGACACTTGTTATATGTTAATATTCACTTGAGTGCCTTTTAATAAAACATGGAAATCAGTTCTCACCGTCCTCTGTGTGGGTGTAGGTGACCTTGAAACCACTGATTTTACTCTTGGGTTTGGTCCAGGACACCGTCAGAGAGTTTTCCGTCACCTTACTGAAGACTATGTTGGTGGGAGGCTCCGGGCCTGAACGGTATGAAGAATACCATGAGAGAGGTAATGAAAGCAACGGAGGAGAGCAGCGAAGTGACAGGAAGAAGTAAAAGAAGGAGAATAAAAGAGTAGTGAGAGAAGTAGTAAAAGTAAAAAGAATGATTCTGTATAGATAGTATAGCATGAAAAGAAAGACAAAAATGGCCACTAAAAGAGTGAAAACAGTGTGTACATTATTATTTATTCATCCACACATTTGCTATTAGTGCTCCGATGAGTTTCTGTGTATATATGTACAGTGCAAACATATATACAGTATACAAATCATATACAGACATATAGTAATGAATTACAACAATCAGATGATGGATCCTGGACAGCAGTGAAGGAAAGAATGATGGAGTTTAACAGTTAGCTGGTCACTCAAACCTGAAAAATAAAAGCGTGGCAGGAATGAACAAAACAAAGGAAGAAAAGTAGACAATTTTACAGGACGAATGATAACAAATACATTCAGATATTAATTCAGAAGAGCTGAAAGTGAAGATTTACATTTAAAGCGTTGGAAAATTACTTTGTGGACAGATTTTTGACCTCATTAGTGTGTCTGGGTATCACTGAACAAATTTAACACTTTTTCATGCGTCTTGACATTTCTTGATCCATTCCCTTGTTAAAATATTAATATATTTACATATTTGTATTACAAAAGGAGACTCTTCTTTGTAATACAATCAATGTAAAGTTAAATATGTAGCATACCGAAGCAATACAGTATTGACACATATTGTTTTTTGACACCCAGGTCTGTTAAATTATAAAATATCCAACTGTTTTTGTTTTTTTGTGAACTCTAAAGGATTAAAATGTGCACATTTTGCATTTGGATGTGAAAGGTGAAGACAGACCAAACGTACAGAGACCAGCCGTGGTCTTACCCTGGTTTGGGTGAGAGGTGAAGGGGTGTCAGTGAAGCTGGCTGTTAGCTTACCCTGAATGAATGAGAGAAGACCAGAGTAGCAGTGAGGGTAGGGGATGGATTTGGATTGAAACCTACTGGAGGCTTAATTTCCTTGAAGCAGAACTAAAGACCATCTCCAGGTTGGGAAATTAAGCCTCCGGTAAGTAGCCAGCTTGCTGAAGGCAAATGGTGCTAATAACATGCAACTACAAGCCATTATGACCTAGATACATTAGCTAGTACACAATTTAGCTAGCTAACGATGTGACAAACAAACACATCTGCGATTTGACATCAAATAACTGAGTGTGTCTTCATGGTTGAGTGTTGATTATCATAATGTATGACTGCTACCTCATATGAGTATTTCATATGAAAGCTGACAAATGAGTGCACAAATATAGCAACACAAAACACAACAGCTCAATGAACATCAAGACCCACTGAAAACAAACAGAACAGGTTATGTTATTACAGAACCAATTATTGACTGAGAAATACATGAGGTGAAACTGTAAATCGCAAGCTTACAGTTTTCAAGAGCACCACAGCACTTAAGCTCTTGAAATGAACATGGAGGAAGCATTTAGTGGGTGAGCAAACATTTCCAGTCATACTCAGGACAAGTGACAATTAGTTAACAAATACATTTTTGTTCATCAGCATAAGAAACGTGGTGCAGTAAAGACATTAGGTGTGTACAGTTTTCTGTTCTAAGTTCACAACATTTGACACTTCACAACATTTACAGTAATGTTGTATCATTGTACAGTAGTAATTAATGTTCTACTGTCACAATGGCTTGTACCTGTACTGATGACAAGCTTGTGCAGTCTGGACAGAAGGCCAGGACCCTTTCCAAGTAAAGTCACGGTGTACTCGTTCTGAGGAGGCAGATTCTCAAACTGGAAGGAGCGAGCTGAACCAGGAAGAACTTTTTTGAAGGTTTCGTCACTTCCTGTTGACGGTTTGGCTGTTGTGCTGCTTTGGACCCTTGGAACTTGTGTAAAGACACTTTCAGGTACTCTATTTTCATCTTCACTGCCTCCATTTTCTGAATGAATTTCTGTTGTTGGTTGACGATTTGCTTCCTCTTCTTCACCGTGACGCTCTTTCTCCGCATCTTCTTTCTTGCTTTCCTTCTGCTTTGGCTCCTTATGTTTTACAACTTCTTTCCTTGTCACAACAAAGTTCTTGTACTTCCCTTCTGGTGAGTCCCATGTGAGCGTAAATCCATCTGTGGTCCGGTTCGTCACTCCCACATAGTCCAGAGGTTCCCTTGTGACTCCGGAAGAAGAAATGTCTGATCCTGTCAGAGGTTTGGCATTAGCACCGCTTGTCTTTTCAGTTTTACTATCAAACAACCTTTTTGCAGTAGTATTTGTTTTTGTGTGCACTCTACCTTGGCTCCCACTGATGTAGTGCCTCATCTGGGTACTTCTTGTTGGTGATTGTCTATTTTGAAGTGTGACTGGTCTTGTGGCTCCATGTCTTGAATCTGAGGAGGTTTGTTTCATAGTTGGTCTGCCTCGACTTGGAGCACCAGCATTCTTGCCAGCATCGTCATTCTCTTTATGAATGTCAGAGTTAGAATCTGGGGTTCTAGTTTCTTCTTCCGCAAATTTGGTAGTTTGGACTGGAATATTGTTCCCCCCTTCTACTTTGTTAGTTTGTGGTCTGATGGTAGTGTCATGGATATCCATCTGGGTACTTGGAATTACATCTGCAGTGTCTTGTTCTCCTGATTGTTGAATTTGGACTCCTTGGGTAGGCATAGGGGCATCCTGCTCTCTTGATTGGTTATTCAGGATTTCAGGGGTACTAACCTTTAATAATTGACTTCCAACAGTAATGCCGCTACCTTCATTTAGCTTTCTGGTTGGGAAAGGCTTGCGCATGGGACCTCTATGTGGATACTGAGGCGGTGTCAGGTTTGTACGGGTTTTGTTTTGGAAATGTCCACCATACAGTTGTGGCCGACGGAAGTAACCAACTTTGGTGGTTGGCCGATGAGGGGAATGCACTCTACTTCCTCTGAGGGTCTCATTGAACTCAGCTGATGTGCTTGTCCCAACTCTGTCTTCATTCTCCTCTCCTGTTAGCTCTGTACCTTCAGCTGGATAGGATTCTTTTGAAACAGGAGGAGAAAAAGTGACAGACAATTCAGTGGAAGATAGCTGATCTCCCCTTGTTTCTGATGCAGGATTTAAAGGTTGAGCGGGGGGAGGCAGCAGCCTTGAATGTGGTCGAGTTCGGTTCAGAAGGGGTCCAAAGTTTGGAACTGGGCGACGCAGGTAACCCCCCTTTAGAGGAACACGCCGAACTGGGATTCGTCTTCTTTCTGTTGGGGATGCAGGTGTAGTAGCCCCATCTTTGTATCCATTCGTATCCCTTGCTGGTACATTTTCCTGAACTAAGGATGATTCCTCTGAAGCAGATGAAGATGGTGAAGACAATAATTCACTCTGGGATGTATGTCTTGTTTCTGTCTCTCTTCCAGTGATAAGGTTCAAATGAGGAGGGGAATGGTAAGGACCTTTCAAATTTAAATGGGTTTTGTTCTGAAATGATCCAAGGTTTGGCCGTGGTCGACGTACATATCCCGATTTTCCAGGTGTGCGGCGGAAAAAAGGAATGCCACCTTTTCCTGAGGGTGATAGTTTTCTGTCTTCAGGTGGTGTATCAGTTGTACTTTTGCTATTATGAACATTTGGTTCATTGCTTCCAAGTGAACCTGATTCATCTGAGCTGGAAAGGGATGACGATGGAGGTGATGGTGATAATGATGGTAGTGATGATGGTGGTGATGGTGATGATGATGAAGGTGATGACAAAACTAAATATGTTAGTAATGATGATGGCGCTTCTTGTGATGAAGATGAGACTTGTGAATGTGATGGGGATGAAGATGATGGCGCAGTTTCTGATTGTGACGATGATGATGAATGTGACAATGATTGTGGGGTTGATGAGGATGATGACGAGAATGACGACAATGGCTTTAGTCCACTTAAAATCTGCTTACTCACTCTTTCTGCATCAGTAGAGATGTGTGATGGTTTGGACAAGTGAACAGAAAAGGTTGTGATATTCAAACTGTCAAAAGTGTCTGTCAGGAGTTTATGTAAAGGATCTGGAGAATAGTCAAGGTCTGACTGTGTAGATGAGGGTTTTACATCAGAAATATCATCTGTTTCAGAGGAACCTTGATGTGAGCCTGTTGTCTTTCCTACCGACACTATTCCATCCCCTCTACACCCGCTGCCTCTGTCCTTATGGGGTAATCTGATGTGTGTCACTTTAACTTTATTTATACATTTCTTCTCTTGGCTTTGAACAGTCCCAGTTGGCTCTGAAGACACTGGAGCAGTGTCGTTTCCATGGCCTGCCATGCCAACATCTGGTTGCTTTTTGGAGCCAACAGCAATAGTTGGTTCCTCCGAGCTACTTTGTCTGTTTGTATCTGAATCAGTCCCAGAAATTATAGCTGGATTTTTGGCATCCCTCCACTCAGTGCTTGATTCCCCCACACTTGGGTCTCTCACAGTCAAAGTTATTGTCCTGTTTCCGATGACGGGTACACCTGGTTTAGGTTTTTTGGGTACCATTATTATCTTCTTCTTATTCTCGCCCACTGGCAGCTTTTTCAAAGGGCCTGGGCTAACCTTTCTTCCTCCTGGCACAACTCTGGTTGTGTTGAAACGGAAAGGGCCTGCGATATTTGGCTTCCTGGACAATGTGGGTCTTTGAGCAAGTTTGGGCCTGGTGCCATTTATTGCCATCCTTTTGTTGTTCAGAGGTTTAGTTCTTGCAATCACAGAGGCTCTGGAGTCTTTGTTGGGTCCATTAATACCTTTGGGTTTTAGAGAGTCAGGCTCGCTTCCATCCTCCCTCCTTCCATGCTGGTCTTCAGGCGATGGGTCAAACTCTTTGTCTCTGTCGCCGACATCTTGTCCAGGTGCTAATGTGACCTGCATGGTCAAAGCTGCCATGGTAACCCTTGGTAATGTCCCTAAAGATGTGAAGGGAGTGAGCGTTTAGATTCAATGTTAAGGTCACATTATGTAGCTGTTGATAATAATCCAGAAGAGATCATGTCTAATAAAGGAAGAAAATCAGTTTTAATATTGATTATGATACTTTTCAGGAAACCTGATTTACAAAAGTTTATCAGTTATTATTCAAGTGCAAACAAATAACTTAAGGCAGTGGAATCCATGTGGAACCTGCAAGGAGAAAATTGAAATATAATTATTGTTAAGCTTGGACAGAGAAATTCAACATGCTTGCGGTCTCACTGTTGAGTTCAGGAAAATGGAGTTTAAGGAATATTCTCTTCTGAAACTCATTATTTTTGCTCCTGGAAGGTTGAGGCTGCATCTCGCTTCATTAACTTTTACAGTAACGTTACTCCGCACTGTAATGCGTTTTATATGATGTGTTCCGTTGAATAATGAGGCGTCTGGACACAAAGTTTCACTTGCTTTCACTTAGCTGTAGCAAGTCTGTTCTCACCTGAATACAGTCTGGACAAGAAGCATTTGACTTGCTCACATTTAACAAGTACAGTTGAATGAATGGAGAGCCAGGTCGCAGCAGCTTTAATGGAAGTATTTTGCGTTTCACTTTTATAAGAGAGAAAAGGTTTCATCAAGACTATGTAATCCTTGAAATAATAGGGTCTGTCTGAAAAGGGGAGTTCATATTATAACCACAGCTGTCTTAAATTCGCTAAAAGATAGTTAATTTACCTCAGTAGTTCAGAAAAGGGCGTCTTTAGTTTTACTCACCGGGAGTAACTTGGGTGGTTGCGGGTTCACTCCGGCTCGAACCCTTCTCTGCCACGAGTATGATGTCATACAAATTCCCCGCCTCCAGCTGTAGGATGTGGGCAGAGTTTTGGCCAACTGGGACGGTCATTTCTTGACTCCTTCCTGCTCCGTCGCTGGGTGTGACAGTCAAACGGTACCTATCAATCTCACCCTGCGAGTGCTCCCATTGGACCACCGCAGACGTCGAGGTCGTCTTGACGACTTGGAGGTTTGTGGGACCAGAGATAACTAAAGAAGAATATGAAGAAGAAAAAGGAGGACACAATGTACAGTGTTTACAGTCTCTGTTCTACCTGGTAACATGGAGCTGTGGGGGTGATTCCAACAGAGGAAAGTGGATACACAAACATCCACTCATTCTTTTTCAGTTTTAAATTGATCTTGGCTCAGCACATTTCCCTCTGCTCTTCACTTTCTTAAACTCACAGTCACACTCCTACAGCCTCAGCCGTCCTGTTTGCTGATGGCCGCTGGGCAGCCTCCCTGCAGCTGCCACAGATGACATCTTTCACAGGAAGGGCAGCGAGAGGGAAATGTTTAAACTCTCTCTGCCAGTTTGGCGATATGAGCTGCTGACAATGGCCAACATGTTGGTCAGAAGCTCCGTTTTCTAACTTGTGTACTTGAAACTGCACTTTTATAGGGACATTTCATTTTCATTCATAACCGTTCATAAATGTCAGTATGTGACATATTTGAAGTATGTGGCTTTTTCAAAATAGATACGAACATTTCTTTCATTGAGGCTGTAGCATTTATGTTGTTAATATCTGTCATTTAATATTTAAAGTCTCCTTCCACTCAAAAAACTCATTTAAAAAAAAGTTTTTCTTTAAATAGGCTGTATTTTATTGCTTTCCTGTCAACAGAAATACTTGCAGGCCTTGAATTTTCATCGTGGTTTCTCAGTTTGATTGATTTGAGCTACCATAAACTCCACAAAAACAAAATTTTGAGAGTTTTTGATATTGCTTCCAGTGTAGAATATCACTTCCTGTCCTCCATCCGCAGTTCGTGCCACAGAAACACAGTGACGTCATGTGCAAACAAGCTATTCTAATCCTTGTTATTTTGAGTTTTTTCTGTTGTTTAAATGACCCTAGAAGAGACGAACAGAATCATCTATGTCAGTAAATTAACATAGAAAGCTCACGGGTCATGAATTCAGCGGAGCTCTCGGCTCCCCTCCTGCCGTTGATCTCTCCGGTGATGCTGACGGTGTACTCCTGACCCGCCGCCAGGCCCGTCTGCGTGAATGTGGTCAGGCTGCCCTCCACCTGCACAGTCATCTGCTGGTCACTCTCCTTCTGTTTGGAACAGACAAAACAAATGTTGATTCTCTGCACATCTGCCAGCTGAATCAGATGCTTCTAAGCTCCAGGACGGCAAGCCTCAGAGAGAGAAAAGCGCCACCTACATGCTTGTAAATCTTGTTATGCTGCAAGTCAATCTTTAAATTTACACTATATCCAACGATAAACAATCGGTTACTCTAGACCAATTATATTTGTGAATTTACTTTAAATAGTTAAAATAAGTTGGCATTGAGAACAAATTGAATCAAATTAAAAAAGCTAGAAATAAATATTTGGATTCAATTTAATAAATTATTTTTATATTAGTTTTAGTGCTTTCCACCACCCCCAAGAGGACACATAGACCATTAACTAGCCAGGAACTAAAATGATGAATTTTTATCTTCTACTGATATAACATCCTCTTGATGGAAGAGGATAAACAGTTTTGGAAATGTGTAACCAGTTATTTAATCCTCTCAGGGTTTTTCTGAGAGTTTGTCTTTAAGTGTCACGTCTGATCCATCAGAGGGTGAGTTTTCTCCTCCCACAGTGACGGCTGATAATTAAACCTTTTGAATGTTCCCCCAATTCTGTGTTTGTTGATTTAAGCTGACTTAAGTTCAGCCAGTACAGCCAACATTCCCCGTAATAATAATGATTTTAAAAAATCACGATGTACTCATCATCATGTGCAAGAAGAGCCTGATGGAAACACTGTGCTGTCTCCAGGGCATCGACGTGTGTGTGTGTGTGTATGTGTGTGTGTGTGTGTGGGCAAAGACAGACACTCGTTCTCTTGTATTTTTACTTTCTGGAGTTTCCAAAGTCTAAATGTACTGAAGCAGAACAGAAACAATCCTGAGGGAAATCAGTGACGTCACTGAAACTCTTTTTTGTTTCTGTTTTGTTTGTTTCATTTCTTGTGCAGCACAAAGTTTTTTTTATGTGACTGAATGTTGACATTATATATTCAGTGATTGCTGGGACCATGGAAGCACAATGAAGCCAATTAAAACAACATTACGTAACATTTCTCTACCTTAAAATAACAGCTTCACTATCGTTTTAACTGAGCTCTAATAGTGTGAATGGTGCCTCTGTACGCTGTTGTTGCACTGTGATTTTGGTGAAACTGGATCAAACGGGATAATTTATGATTATTGATTGACTATGAAGACTTTATTATCTTCAAACCTAAAGAGTAAAAAATTACTCTGAGGGGATTCCTGAAGACAAAATCCTCTCTAATTGGTGCTCTTGTTAGCTGCTACTTGTCCGGCCCACTTCAGCTCTCTCCAGATGTCACCCTCATGGGTCCAGTCGATGCCTGATGATATCCAGTTCATTAACAATTACAAATGATTCTTCTATATCCGATTATTGGAATGTCATTACAGACTCTGTGGTGCGTTTAGGGTTTGGTCTTCACTTTATTCATTCCCATAACTTCAGTCAGGATCATTTCACGCTGCACAAAGTTCTCATTATTCAATTTATCTATTGGAAAGCCTGAAACTTCCCATGAATTAAAAGCTGAGGCTTACTCAACAATTACTCAACTGGGAGTGCTGGACTCTGACTTCCTAATGAATGGATACCGTGTTGTAAAGTAAATGGTCCACAGCTGGTTGCCATGCTGGTTACTATGTTGGCTGCCCGGCGATGGTGCTCCAGAGGTCGTCCTGGATCAGCGTCCGCGTGTCAAAATGCTTTCATCCATTTCCATATGAACAAGGGTGACATCATTAAAAACTGAGGCTCCAATAAATTCACAATACACTTTAAAACAAGTCGAGGCTCTGTGGCGTCTCTGCGGGGCTTTCAGGGACGATGATGTTTGGTTCTTTCTTAACATGAGGAGGTCTAACTGGGCCGCTGCATGACTCTCAGTCTGCACGTTTATGAGGGAAAATAAATCTAACGTCACTACAGAAAGTTCTCCTCAAAGACCGTTGCTCTGTTGGGTTCCATTTAGTGTCTTCAGCAGGATTGCCAGGACTTATATTAAATAAATATATTTATATATATTTTATGTAGTTTAAACGGTCACAGTTTGGTTAGGTTTAGGAAAAGATTGTGGTTTTGGTTAAAATAAGTATGCAACGCAACTCACCTAACATAACGTAACATAATGTAACATAGCGTAATGTAACAAAGTAAAGTAATATAATGTAAAGAAGCATAATGTAACATAAACTTGTGTAACGTAACTTAAGTGTTACATACACGTAACTTACTTCACAACCTAATTTAAAGAAAAGTCCACGTTTTGGTAGTTTTGGTTTCACACAAACATACCTGGGTAAAAGTCTTTTGTGTTTGAGCCATCCATCTCTCCGACCTCCTCCATATTCAGATTTTCTTGACGTTATTTGTGAAAAATGCTAACATGCTAATCAGGATCAAGTCTGTATAAAATGTCTGTAAAAATGTAATGTATCTGTGTGTGTGTGAAGTAGAAAAATTACTGAATGAATGACCTGCTTGAACTCCACTGACCACTGATTTATTCTGAGGAATTCGGTTCAGATGATTCATCCACTGCAATTTAGTTCTAAATTAACTGCACTTTATTCAGATAACCTCCGCTGGTTGCACTGAGGGTTGATTCATCGTCTCTACTTCCTGGTGTCCTTTTTATCCATTTGAATGAATAAGACAGACGTCATGAACTAAAAAAGTGCAGATTCTGTGCAGCTCCGCGGCTCATTAAGGCAGTTATATCCTGAAGAAGTGTAGCTGTGTCTGCATTTGAACTAAAAGGATGAAAATAGAATCAGTAAAATGTACTTAAAAGTATTTACTGTGACAGTTGTACTTTTATATATGATACCATTAGATTATTCTGATGCATGAATTCATGTAAAAGCAGGATTTTGTTGTTGTAGTTGGTTGAGATGGAGATTATTTTTAACTGTTCTGTATCGGACTGCAACTAACGGTTAATTTCATTGTGGATTCTGCTGAATTTTCTTTAAATTACTTATTTTAAACTCTGTTTGTAAAAGACTTGTTACTGGAGGACCTCCTGTGATTTCTAATGATCAGAGGTGTTGGTGTCGGTCAGTGGCCCTCTGCTCGGTAGGCATCCCGCTACTGTCATATCTGGTTAGAGTTTCAAAATAAAGCTTGTGTGGTTGTGGTGAAACATTGTGAAATGGTCAGAGTTTGGTTAAGTTAAGATGTATGTTAAGTAACTTAAAAGAAGACAACTTTAACTTTTGCCATTTTGACCTCAGACAGGACACAAACAGCGGCCTCCTGGGTTCAAGTCCTGTGTTTGTTTGAGCATCCATCCACACCATCACCTCCATATATGGCTCTTTATACTACGTCTGGCGGGTGCATCCATAAGTAAAGCTTAATCCTGGAGCCCTGCAGGTCCACAAATGAGGCTGAGGAATACCTACAGTGACACATTATGAAGCAGAGGGAACAGACGGTGTGAGACGAGCTGAGAGTGAGACCGGGCTGATTGTTTTCAGAGGTAAAATGTTAAAAAGGAAACATGAAGATCGGTTTTAAGAGGGAAGATTGACGATGTCACCTGGAAACAATAAATATTTGTAGGAAGTAAACGAGTTTCCTGAAACTACTTGAACATGCTTCCTATCAGCCGGATGTTCTGTAAAGTCTCTTTTCTTTCTCCGTTCCTCTCAGACTAATCTCCTCCTCGCTGACGGTCTGTTGTTGTTGTTTGTCTGTTGGTCTGGTAAACATCTCTCTCTCTCTCTCTC